GTGTTGGAGAACTTGTGTGACATCCCATGTGGGACAAACCATTGGAGCCACTTGTGCTGTGTTTGGCATCCCAGGGGGACAACGTGCAGGGCCACGTGCTGGCAGAGCACTGAGGATGGTGTGTAACAACCAAGCGATGACAAACTGCAAAGGACAAAAAAAGGAGGACTCTTTGCACAGCTCTGTGTGAGCCACACTGCTGGGGACCCCACAGTGCCACTTCCGGTTTTGGCAGTGATTTCCACGTCAGGTGGTGACACCAAAACATCCAGTCCTAAAAGAGGAACTGACAGCAGCTCAACGCCAATCCTTGTCCCCACTGCAATCTGGCCGTCTCCAAGCTGCTCTTGCCTCATGGCACCAATGGTGCTGGTCCTCATCCTGGGTGAGTGACAATGGGGACGTGGTGCCACGGGGGGTTGGTGGCCCAGTGTGGGACCAGGACCGTGTTCCTTGCAGGTTGGTGGCTGGTGGCAGGAAGCAGGGCTCAGCTGTGTGAGTATGGGGATAAGAGGAGAATGGGGAGAGAGGGAGGGGAGCGTGGTCAGGGGGCCATGAGAGGGGCAGAGGAGGGTGTGCAGGGACAAGGCTGACTGCTGTCCCCTGTCCTAGTGCCCAGACCCTCCCTGTCGCTGCACCCCAGCCAGGGGTTGTCCCTGGGGGACAATGTCACCCTGCGGTGCCACCTGCCCCAGCTGGCTGCACGAGTTGAGCTCTACAAGGAAGGGTTTTCGGGACTTAAAAAGCAAGCACAGATGGACATTGTACAGGACATGGCTGAGTTCCCCTTGGTTAGTGTAAAGGGAGAAGATGCAGTGAGATATCAGTGCCTGTACTCGGTGCACGAGCCACCAGAGACATCGGAGAAGAGTGAACCCGTGGAGCTGGTGGTGACAGGTGAGGGCACTGGGGAAAGCAGATGGCCTTGGGCTGATCCCTCAAAGCTGTGTTCCATCCCTGTCTCCTCTCGGCACTCAGATCCCAGCTATCCCCCAGCCAACATTTCCCTGATCGCCAAGGAATGTGTGGAGACGGGGACCAATGTCACCATCCAGTGCGACAACCAGGAGTTTGGGGGCATCATCTTCCTGCACAAGGATGGGCACTCAGCCCCTATCCAGCTCCAGGACCCCAGTGGTGGGGGCACGGCCACCTTCACCCTCTTTGGGGTGACACAAGCTGACTCGGGCACCTATAGGTGCTCCTACCACGTTGGTGGCTTCTACCTTCTTTCCTCACCCCTTGGGGACAGCATGACACTGGAGGTGACACCTGCACTTGCACTCCCAG